CCAAGTTTTGAAGCGGGAAAGTCTCTCATGCGAATTCTATATTTTATAAGAATGGAAGGTGTTTGGTCTGTTCTTTGAAAGAATTGATAATTATTAACATCCAGTTTTAGATAAATTTCTGAATAGATTGAGATAATGTCTCATATGTCTTTTCGACGTCTAACATGTTCGTTTGCAAAATACTGAGAGCTTTGGTAACTCTATATATTTTTTTGTAATAAATTTTTAATATTAGGTTGTCTAAAAAGTCTTGCGGTATTTTTATTGAATTTTCAAATGTTTATAACATTTTTTTTTGATGACGTGGCACATCTTCGACCACCTCTACACCAGAACGAAAACGTTGAAACCATCGTTGTGTGGTGGAAATGGAAACTGTATCGGGTCCATAAACTGCGTAAATTTTATTGGCGGCTTGAGATGCCTTTTTGCCTTTATCGTGGTAGTACTGTGAAATATGCCGTATTTTCTCTTTATTTTGCTCCATGTTTGCGAAGCTGTAACTCACGAATGACTTAAAAGAAAAGACAATCAATCAAACACGTGTTAGCGCGTGAAATGAGCTTTCCAAAAAGGTATAGCATGACCCGATGCGACGAATAAAACTAGAACTACGCGCTCTCAGCGCCAACTAGCGAAAATACCGCAAGACTTGTTTGACAAACTAATATAATCATTTAATTAAAGTAATATTGTTCTTCTCTTCTTTGGAGGGAAAAATAGTAACCTAACAGTAATTAATTAAGCTGAAGCAATAAATTATGATTTTTTTTATTAAGGTGGGAGGTGGGGTGTAGCCTGCTTTAGAGGCTTAACAAAATCTATATATAATATTTGAGGATTTTGGGAGAGGAAAAAATAAATTATTAAAGGGAAATTTCAAGGCTTTATAATTATATATTTAAGCACCATGTACAAATTTTTGGATACGAAAACTTTGTTATTCCGCCTTTTGGAATCCATTGTCCGATGCATCTCGCATGTGCATTTGTCGAACGGCGGGCAGGATGCAGGTCGCAATTTCTGCCGGAAACAAAAAATTCAAAGATATTCATATTTTTTAAAAGTTTATCTTCTAGTTAAAATAAAAAAACTAAAAAAAAGAGTGTAAAATTAAAAAAAAAAATATAAATTAAAAAAAGGTGGTTTTTGACCAAAATAATTTCAGATGTTGTTTAAAAATTTCTTCAAACTTGACTTTTCTTAGTTTCTTTAGTTTAAATAGAAGACAGATTAATGCCAAAAATAATCAACTTTGCCTCAATTCCATACCACGTTTAGTGGTTTTTCTATCCTGCCCGCCAATTAAGAAAAATCGTAAAAATGACAAAGTGCTAGAAATCGGGCGTCAAAGTTTTCGCTTTCTGCCCAATCGCTCACATATCTGCTGGACGCTCCGTCACTATTACCCTTCTAGCTTCGAAAATATTTCGAACTCCCATCTATAACTTAGGGGCATATTCTTAGATTATTTTTAAAGAGATTTAAGTAAACAAACATTTTTATTGTGCAGCTGTTGCTAACAAATTTCTTGTATTGTCTGTAAGCATAATGACCTTCGATATTGTCTATAAGCATGCTATTAGGTATCCTACGATATTAGATTCTATGTTTCCTATACAGATCCAGGTGTACTATATAAACGCTGAAGGACTTTCACTTCGGTAACATTACTCAAAATTGTTTGGAAATATTTTCTCTCAGACTATAAATGAGCTTCGAAAGATTACAACCAAGTCCTTGTACTGAAGGAAAACTCTTTTATTTGACAAAATATTTTCATGGGTCGAAGGAAATGCTCCAATTTCTGAATAGATTGATCAGAYCGAACTGTTACAGCATAAAACTAACACATTGGAAATCACTAAGAAACCTTTAGGTATTGACCGGTTATGCTTTCATATTAAGTTATATATGGTATAAAGTGAATATAAGAAATGCATTTGATAAGGGTATAATGACTTCGCTGTAATGGAAGTCACCGGTTTTTCTTGTTTTTTATACTTTCACAGTTTCTCTAACCTTCAAACAAACACTCTTAATTTTCGCTATAYTTACATGTTTTATCCTCAAATTAAGCCATACGTTTTTTGACCTTCCAGGCTGTTTGCAACTTTCGCATAAAATAAGTAATACTTTTATATAACTACTCGCAGCTATAGAAGCAAATTTGTTGCTTAAATAATTGTACAGCCGCTTGAAATAAAGTTAGCAGACAATTGAGTGCTAATAAGTCGGTAAATAAGAGCAGCGAAGAAATCAACAGCCCGCGAGACAATCATAGACGACTCGCCGAAAAGCAAAACAAAAGAGTAAACAGGAAAATAGTAAGGCGTGCCGAATGCCAAGTTGCCAAGGGTGGCGCTGAAATTGCGAAAGTTTCAAGTTTAAAGCGAAGGCTTTGCTGAAATGATATCGTAAAGTTTGGAGAGAGTTGAACGAATTGCAAATAAAAATTGGAGAAAAGCGGGAAGTTTTTCAACAGCTGCATATATTGCAAACTGAGTTAATGTAATTCATGATTTTTGTTTTATAATGCCTTGTTGTTGTTGTATTTTCTTTTATTTCATTACAACTTCGGCTTTACTGCACGCTTTTGCTGCCAATTTGCGTGTTTAAGTTGTGTAAATTTCACAATGCTGCAAATGGCTGTTTATGTTTAAATGTATATAAGGGTGGGCCAAAACTGGTAAAATATTTAATGCTACGAAATAAGACGAGAACAGTTATAGTAAGATGAAAATCATTTAAAAATTAAAACATAAGCATAAAGAAAAATAATCTACGGGAGATCTAAGCTTATAAAAAACGCGGAGCGACGTGATTTAATTTTTAAGAGTTAATAGTGATTTATYTCGATTTCTACCACAACTACAGCCCCGATAGAAGAAAGTCGTATTGCAACGTTGTGGGTAATAAGAGAGTCTATAACTTTTTTTAGACTTTTTTTCACATAACCTCCAAATTTTGTAAAAACTTCAAAAGCTAAGATTGTGGTTTTTTTAATTGTATATTTTTATTTAGGGAAAACTTGACTTCTTACATCCTAAAATTTTTTATAGTTTATGATTAAGGCCTTGTTTTGACATAACATCAGAAAATAACCTTCATTCAATGGAAAAATCTAAAGTCAAAATAATTTTTTTTTTCCTTTTAAGTCAAAATTTATGGAARTGTCGACTAACTTATGGTGTAGAAATACCTTGAAACTTTTTGGAAGTGAGTTATGTTTAATGAAAATATCTTACAAATTACTAAAGTTT